TTCTTGCTCTCTCCTCCAACATCCTCTTCTTGCTCTCTCCTCCAACATCCTCTTCTTGCTCTCTCCTCCAACATCCTCTTAGAGGATTGGAAAGATGGATCCTAAAAAGACCCTGTGCCAGCTCATGTTCATGGTTGGAGACCCATACACAATAGTAGTACATGATTATGATTGACTGAAGGGTGTAGGAGGCTGGGTTGGACATTCCTGCTATCAGGCTAGTTGTCTCTCCAGATAGAAACTTCCCAGGAAACCAGGCCTGTCGTTGCCTGTTTTCTTCCTACTGAGTGCTTGGCCTTGCCTTGGCAGAATGGTTCTCATGGGAAGGCTTCCTAATGTAGGTGGATCATGATGCTCCAAGGACAAGAAAAGGTTGAATATACTTCTGCATATATATCTTTGTGTAGTGCTTACTCCTTCCTTCCATGCTCTGTGGATTTAGAAAAGAAAAAACTGCTGTCTCTGTCCTCAAGGAGTACACAATCTAACTGAGAATGCTAGACTTACCCCTAGGAGGTAACCAGTCCAGGCAAGGAATGACCACGAATAGAATCATGGCTTAGACTTGAAATCAGAATTGCAGAATCACTATAGACTCACATGAAAGAAACCATATCATGGCTCCACCTCCCAAGATCATGAGAAGTGGCATCACTGGGTTTCTGCCTAGAATTTGCTCAGGTATGAGGGCTCTGGGAGAGAAGGGACTCATATTGACTGGGTGCCTGTGTTGTGCCCAGTTGACAGGCATTCCTTCATTTTCATGGCAACCTGGGGTGGGAGGTAGAACATGATTTTCCAATTTTGCTAAATGTGAGACTTTGATTCATGGGTCTTAAGTGCCTTGCCTGGGGTCACATGGAGTTGTAAGCACAGACAGGACAGAATTCTCCAAAATCTGAGGGATCTGGGAGAGTCTAGACTTTTGAGTTGGCTGGTGTGTCTTGTATGTGGCTCTAGGACATAAACCTTCTCTGTCCTATTATTCCTTTAGGACCAAGGATACACCCAAGCTGGGTCTCCTCATGGTGATTCTGAGTGTCATTTTTATGAATGGCAACAAGGCCAGTGAGGGTGAGTGGCTGGGCATGCAGCTGAATGGGTGGCTGTGCTCTGAATTCCATGTGTTCATTTTCTGTCCCTGTCCCCTCTTGCCTCCCCTTGCAGCTGTCATCTGGGAGGTGCTGCGCAAGTTGGGGCTACGCCCTGGGTATGATTGGGCTCTCTCAGCGCTTGCTGTCCGTGTTGTCCTTTGGCAAGAGAGGACGGTCCCAGGATTGCATCAGCCTGGTGGTCTGGTGGCGCGGGTGGGGGGTGCTGGGCTGGGTGGATGGGGAAATGATTCTGAACTCTTTACTCCCTTTCTCCTTTATGTCCTCCATCTGTTCTGAGCTGAGATGTAAGATAAACCTTCAGGGATCCCTGAGAAAGAGCCATCTGGCCTCCGGCTGCTTGCTTCTTCTAGTGGCTATGTGCTCACTACTTTCTTCTCTTCGTTGAGACTACCCCATGTGCTAGAGAGGTTTCCTTCCAGTTGGGAAATGCCTCTGCACTAATCTGGGCAGTTTTGGTCTGTGTTCATGGGTTATTTTTCCCATTGCCAGGGTGAGACATTCACTTTTTGGGGAAGTGAGGAAGCTCATCACAGACGAATTTGTGAAGCAAAAGTAAGTGGTGTTTGGGGGTTTTATTTGACCCTGATGTGTTCTGGGGGTGCTAGTCTAGTTCAGAAAGTGCTTAGTCAGTGCCTTCTTGATGCTGTCTTTAGAGGGATGAGCATCTTGTGTTCTAAAAATGAGTCCTGTCTAAAATTCCCATGGAGGGACATATCCAGGACTAGGAACAGACCAATACAATGCCCTTGCAATGGGGTGTGCTCAGAGCAGGGGGCCTGAAGAATGGCTTCTCTGTTTACAACACACCCAACAGCAATCTGGGTTTACTCCTCACAGGTGGCAGGATACATTGGCCATCCTGTGACATCATGCCCTATATACCCCAGGTGCCTTTGCACAGGGTCATTGGGAAATGGTCTTGGAAGAACAAGACCATGAACTATGTGTGAGAATGAATCTTGGGCTGGAGAGTCTTGGAAATACCTCTGTAGGGGCTATTTAGCATTTGTGTAGAAGAGATTGTCATATGAGACCTAGTGATTAAACAACAGGTTTGCTTGGCTAGAAGTAAGCTTTGTTTCCTTTCCAAGGTACCTGGAGTATAAGAGGGTCCCCAACAGCAGACCACCTGAGTATGAGTTCTTCTGGGGCCTGCGCTCTTACCATGAGACTAGCAAGATGAAAGTCCTCAAGTTTGCATGCAAGGTAACATAGCTGCCTGATTTGGAATGTTAAGGGAATGGCATGTCTCTGGCTGACAAAGCCTGTGTGTAGTAATAGACAGGTAAAGAACAACCTGCAGTTTATATGTAAACATATGAAGCCTCATTAATATCCCAGAATGTTGCTAGAAATATAGTTTACATTGTTTTATTCATTCCTATGCTTTGTATTAATTAGTTCAGGCTTCTATAACAAAATATCATAAACTGAGTGGTTTAAAAACAGAAATTTGTTTTCTCACAGTTATGGAGGCTGAGAATCCCAGATCAAGGTCCTGCACAGTTGGTTTCTGGTGAGGGCTCTCTTCCTGGCTTAGAGAAAGCTGCCTTCTTGCAGTGACCCTTCTTACAAGGACACTAATCCTATTGGATGAGGGCCCCACCCTTAAGACCGTATTAACTAACTATAAATTACCTCTATAACAGCCCTATCTCCCCAAACAGTCACACTGGGCATACTGTCATTTCCCATATTATGAATGAAGACACTTGGGTTCAATAAAGTTAAATAACTTGTCCATAATTTTATTGTTCCTAAGTTATCAGAGCTGAAATTAGATCCCAGGACTGACCCATGACAGAGCCTTAATAAGAATTTTAAAAAATTAATGCTCTTAATTTTATCCAAAGTTCTTAGTAGGTGCTTCACATATCATTACAAAGGTTCTTTTCTTTATAATAATTATTATTTCCATTTAAGGTGCAGAAGAAAGACCCCAAAGACTGGGCTGCTCAGTATCGGGAGGCAGTGGAGATGGAAGTCCAAGCTGCAGCTGTGGCTGTGGCTGAGGCTGAGGCCAGGGCTGAGGCAAGAGCCCAAATGGGGATTGGAGAGGAAGCTGTGGCTGGGCCTTGGAATTGGGATGACATGGATATCGACTGCCTAACAAGGGAAGAATTAGGTGATGATGCTCAGGCCTGGAGCAGATTTTCATTTGAAATTGAGGCGAGAGCCCAAGAAAATGCAGATGCCACCACCAATGTCAACTTCAACCGAGGAACTAGCACCAGGGGTGGTTTCAGTGATGGTGCTAGTGTTAGCTTTAATGGTGCACCCGGCCCCAGTGATGGCTTTGGTGGTGGAGCTGGTATTACCTTCGGAGGTGCACCTAGCACCAGTGCTAGCTTCAGCAATGCAGCCAGCATTAGCTTTGGTGGCACATCCAGTACCAGTGCCAGTTTCAGCAGTGCAGCCAGCATTAGCTTTGGTGGTGCACCCAGCACTAACACTAGTTTCAGCGGTGGAGCCAGCATTAGCTTTGGTGGTGCACCCAGTACCAGTGCCAGCTTCTGCAGCACAGCCAGCATTAGCTTTGGTGGCACACCTAACACTATTACTAGTTTCAGTGGAGGAGCCAGCATTAGCTTTGGTGGTGCACCCAGCACTAGCACTAGTTTCAGCAGCACAGCCAGCATTAGTTTTGGTGGTGCACCCAGCACAAGCACCAGCTTTAGTGGAGGAGCCTGCATTAGCTTTGGTGGTGCACCCAGCATCGGCACCAGCTTTAGTGGGGGAGCCAGCATTAGCTTTGGTGGTGCACCTGGCACCGGCACTAGTTACAGTGGTGGAGCCAGCATCAGTTTTGGTGGTGCACCTTGTACAAGTGCCAGTTTCAGTGGTGGAGCCAGCTCTGGCTTTGGAGGCACGCTCAGCAGCACCACAGCTGGCTTTAGCAGTGCACTTAGCACTAGCACCAGCTTTGGCAGTACACCCACCACAAGCACTGTCTTCACTGGCGCACTTAGCACCAGCACTGGCTTTGGAGGCACACTTAGCACCAGTGTATGTTTTGGTGGCTCTCCAAGTTCTGGTTCCAGCTTTGGTGGCACACTCAGTACTAGTATCTGTTTCGGTGGCTCTCCTAGCACCAGCACTGGTTTTGGTGGTACACTAAGCACCAGTGTCTCCTTTGGTGGCTCTTCTATCACCAGTCCTGACTTTGGAGGTACACTAAGCACCAGTGTCTGCTTTGGTGGCTCTCCTAGTACCAGTGCCAGCTTTGGTGGTGCACTTAATAGCAGTGCTGGCTTTGGCGGTGCCATCAGCACCAGTGCCGGCTTTGGTGATGCCATCAGCACCAGTGCCAACTTTGGCAGTGCACTTAACAGCAGTGCTGGCTTTGGCAGTGCCATCAGCACCAGCTCCAGCTTCGGTGGTGCACTCAACAGCAATGCCAGCTTCAGCAGTGCCATTGGCACCAGTGCTGGCTTTGGTGGTGCCATCAGCACCAATACTGGCTTTGGCAGTACACTCAATAGCAGTGCCGGCTTTGGCAGTGTCATCAGCACCAGTGCCGGCTTTGGAGGTGCACTCAGCAGCAGTGCCGGCTTTGGCAATGCCATGAGTACCAGTGCTGGCTTTGATGGTGCTGTCAGTACTAGTGCTGGCTTCAGTGGTGCACCAAGCACCAACCCTGGCTTTGGTGGTGCATTCAGCACCAGTGCTGGCTTCAGTGGGGCACTTAGTACCACTACTGACTTTGGCAGTACTCACAGCAACAGCATTGGCTTTGGCAGTGCTCCCAGCACCAGCGTCAGCTTTGGTGGTGCTCACAGCACCAGCCTCTGTTTTGGTGGAGCTCCCAGCACCAGCCTCTGCTTTGGCAGTGCATCTAACACCAACCTATGCTTTGGTGGCTCTCCTAGCACCAGTGCCTGCTTTAGTGGTGCCACCAGTGCCAGTTTTAGTGATGGACTCAGCACCAGTGCCGGTTTCAGCTTTGGTAATGGGTTAAGCACCAGTGCTGGATTTGGAGGTGGACTGAGCACCAGTGCTGGCTTCGGTGGCAACCTAGGCACCAGTACTGGCTTCGGTGGCGGCCTAGGCAGTGGCTCCGGCTTCGATGGTGGCCTAGGTACCAGTGCTGACTTTGGTGGCGGACTAAGCACCAGCACTGGCTTCGGTGGCGGACTAGGCACTGGCACTGACTTTGATGGTGGACTAGGCACCGGCACTGGCTTTGGTGGTGGATTAGGTACCAGTGCTGGCTTCAGTGGCGGACTGGGTACCAGCACTGGCTTTGGTGGCGAACTAGTCACCAGTGATGGCTTTGGTAGTGCACTGGGTACCAATGCTGGTTTTGGCGGCACACTTGGCACTGGTGTGGGTTTTAGTGGTGGCCTCAGCACCAGCGATGGCTTTGGCGGTGGGCCTAATGCCAGCTTTGACAGAGGACTGAGTACCATCATTGGCTTTGGCAGTGGTTCCAACACCAGCACTGGCTTTACTGGCGAACCCAGCACCGGCACCAGCTTCAATAGTGGACCCACTTCTATTGTTGGCTTCAATAGTGGACCGAGCACTGGTGCTGGCTTCTGCAGTGGGCCAAGCACTGGTGGCTTTGGTGGTGGACTGAGCACTGGAGCTGGCTTTGGCGGACCGAGCACCGGAGCTGGCTTCGGTGGTGGACTGGGCACCAGTACAGGCTTCGGTGGACCAAGCAGCAGTGCTGGCTTCGGTGGTGGACCAAGCAGCAGTGCTGGATTCGGCGGTGGACCGAGCACCGGTTCTGGCTTTGGTGGTGGACCTAATAGCCTTGGTGCCTGTGGCTTCTCCTACGGCTAATGAAGTTTCAGGTGAATGCCATATTTCCATAGCCAGAGTCCATGGGGTTGGGTATAATATTTGGGATATTATATTTAGAAGAAACCATGAGGGAGGGGGGCTGAGTGGGAAGATGAAGGCAATGAAGGAAGTATGAGAAAACAGTATATTTGGTCCTAAAATGTTTTTGGTGTTTCGTTTTCAGGTTTATTCCCCATGTTTACAGACACCACTAATAAATTGCAGCAGTCTTTCCCATGGAGCCAAGGTACAGCCTTGGAATCTTTGTCCACACAGCAATCCTAAGCAGCTACTACCAATCAGCTGAGGGTGACATGCTTTGAAAAAAATCTGTTCGCTGTTCTTGCTTTCTTGTTTGCTTTCTGTGTGCTGTCATATTTTGGTATTAGAGTTATTAAATTTGCAAAATGAATTGGAGTTTTTTTCTTTTAATTTGCTTAGGTAATTGTGAGTGACACTTTGGGTTTGTAGAAAAGCTAGAGATCAGCATAGCTCTTTTGGGAATGTGGGGTCCAGCTTCAGGCTAAAAGGCAGGTATTTCTTAAGTGGGGGGGAAGCCTAGGAAAGCATGGCAAACCCGAGGATAATAGCTTGAAAAAAATACAAAGGGGGGGAAGCCAAAAGCAGAATGCAAAGATAAAGAGTTCTAGAGTGTAAGTACAGATTCATTTTGAATTATCTGTGTAAGAATGGAGGGACAGAAGGGGGGCGGGGCAACTAGGGGTAAACATGGGAACAAGGGACAGTTTTCTTGGATTAGGAAAGTCTTAAGCATATTGTAAAGACTATGACACCAAAACCAATAGAGAGGGCCAGAAGGTAGATGGAAGAGTCAAGAATTTACAGAAGTAGTCCAAGAGGGTGGGGTGGGATAAGGTACCAGAAAATAGAACATGACTATTGAACAGGATTTAGGCGTATGGAAGCAGATGAATATAGATCATCATCATTTTAAGTAGTGATCTACAACCTGTAGTAGGTCTCAACAAAAATGGAGGTATGAATTATTTAGGGTTTGGATCTCATTGGGTGGTTATGATGAAAGAACAAGAGAACAAAGGCAGCAAATGTGTGAATAAAGTCTTTTGAAGACTTTTTACCACTGGGTCACTTGGTGTTTGTCTCATAGTTGATGTATAGACAGTAACTTAAGAGGCAGACCATAGGACCCAAGCTGGTTAGGGATGGAAGAAAACTGAGGCAGAAGATTGATGGGTTGGGAGATAATGGGGAAGTCAAAGGACTATACTTTTGATGTACAAATACTGCCCATTAAGAAATACCACATGTATGCCTACTGTGTGGAGGTGTGCTATTAGGGACCCTATGAATGACAGAGTTGTGAAGACTCATGAATGAGAGTGGGATGCTTGAATTCAAGGTCAGACCGAGGAGATGATGCCAAGATCCATGGGATGATAGGGTGTTGATCACTGGAGTTGAGGGGATCAGAGTGTGAGGCCTGTGTGATGGTCATTCATTCACATTGACAGAAAACACTCAGGATGGCAACAAGAGTTAGAGAAGATGATCACTTGCCCAAGTGCCAGGTTCTTCTCTGAAAATAGGGATAAAGGTATCCTGCCCCCATTTACATCAACCACCAAGGAATAAGCTCCACCAGCACTCACAGGGACCTATCTTCTCCCATCTTTGCAGGTACTACCCCAAACTCTCAGGAACTCCTCACCCATTCCACATCCACAACACCAGAACTGGGTCAGGATCAGAATCTCGAAAACAATGGGAGAAGTCTCCCTATGACCTTCTCCTATCCTCCTATAGGCAGTAAGAGAAGTCTTTATTGATCAGAGAATAGGAATTAAGAAAGAGCCTCATCCAGAGCTAGGTTGCTCCTTGGTAGTAGCTAGGAACTGAGACCTGTTTGGGAGCTGCTGAGGATTTCTTCTCCCAGTGAGGCCAAAGCCACAATCTTCTCAAAATAGGAGAATAGCAAGGACAGCAGTTCCTAAAGGTGGAAGATAGGACCGAAGCAGTTTGACATCTCAGAAAGATCTCAATAATGGGCAGGGACAGTGTCCAGGGCTTCCTCAGGTTCCCGGGAAATGTCCACATTCTGAGAAGAGAGTGCCCAGGGTTAATAAGAAAGAAGGAGACAGCAGTGTGGGCCCCTAGGACCTCCCCTGCCTCTTGTCCTTACTGTCAGATTCCCCTTTCAACCAGCTCTGAGTCCTGACCCTCTTCTTAGGAAGGCCTGGGGGGTGAATCTCAGTGTAAAGTCTTTTGGGCAGGGATTATCTAGGTGTCTTAGGTCTTGGCTGTATATCCTACATTTCTGGATTTTTTCCTTCTGGTGATGTGAAACACCCAGGATCTGGGAGGGTGCTTTCACCACGTGCTGTGTCCACAGTGGGCTTGGGTGTGGAATCTACCTACCTCAGGCTTCTCTCGGTGTGTGTTCACAGCCTCCACATTCAGGTAGATGGACTCCACTTTGCAGCCTCAGAAAAGAATAACCCATGTGTCTGTAAGCCCCCAAGGTGAGCACAAGTCTTTCCTAAAGTTTTATTCCTACCCCACCCCCCATTATCACTCATACCCCAGCTTCATATTGTATACAGATTGTATCTGCTGGGTAGGGAATAGAATTCAGATGAGATATGTGATATTTTGGGAAGATGCCACATAAGAAAGAGGCTGCCAATAGGGCATCACCCCAGCTCTTTCCCTAAGTTCTCTTGACTTTCAATGCTCATTTTAACATGGGGAAAGAGAAGAGAGCAGATCTGTATGGCCTCCCCAAACTCTTTTGGCCAGTGAGACAGTGATCTAATCTATGTACGAAGGATGGAGTTCTGTGGATCCTCCAAGTTATGCTAGGTGCAGTGGAGGTGAAATAGTCCTGGGCCACTGCCTTGGGCAATTAGGCCCAAGAAAAGTTTATTTTGAGGGCAATGTGGCTATGGCAACACTAGAGGAATGGAGATCACAAGGAGTTCAAGGGAACCTGAAGAAGGAGGAACATGCATCAGTGGGACCTGGGGCTGGCAGAAGAGGCCCAATGCTTATAGAAGTCCCTTTAGATCCATACCTATGGGTAGGCTACATCTCTACTGCAGGCTTCAGTAGGGCATTGTTCCTTCTCACTCCTCCAACCAGATTTGATTCTGTCTTCTCCCTCCTCATGAACCTTTCATAGCTAACTAATGTCCCAATACAGAATATCAACTACCCAGACTGGTCAACTTTACTTTGGTTCCTTTTGGGGACCCCCTCTGGCCTTCTACAGTTCAGTGTTCTATGCTCAGTGCTTGGCAGAGACAGAAAACTAGAGGCAGACCTGGAATTTAGAAACCATCCTGGTTCTTCCCTATTATGTGACCTACCACCAGTCCCGCCTCCAGCAGGATGTCCAGCCACCAACCAGGGGCCCACTCCCTGGACTCTTCGGGGCAAATGGTAGGCAATAGAGGCATGCTCATGGCCTCTATGTACCTTTGCTTATGAGGATGGGGCACTCACCATAAGCCACAGGTGTGAGTTTGAGCACTGTGTGCAGAGGACACTTGAGATAGGGAAGCTCATCTGGAAAGGAGAGGAGTAGGAAGCAGACCTCAGAGATAGTACTGGGCAGGACACCACCTCTCTGGCCACCAGTCTTTCTCAATGCTCCCCCTTTCACTTCCCCTTCCTCAGGTGGGGCTCACCATGGGTGCACGCCTCACATTCTGCAAAGGACAGTACTCAGAGCAATCTACACAGGAAGAAAGGGAGCAGCTAGGCCAGCCTAGGAATAGAGAGGAAGGATAGCCTTTGAAAAACAGGCATACTATGTGTCCCACAGGAGAGTTGGGCAGGCCATGCAGAAATGGCCACCTCCTCATGCTCAGTGACAATAGGAAATCAAGACAGGCCTCACTCCAGCCCAGCCCAGGCAACTATCCACAGACCTCCCACCAAAAAGGCTCACAATTCCCATTGGCAAGTATTTTCTGTGACCATCCAATGTGGCAGAGGTGCATATGGCACTTACCCCTCCCACAGCCTTTTCCTCAGCCTAGGCCTGACTTCTCCTATTATCACACTTGTTCATGGACAAATATTGATTCACTCATTTCCAGTTACTATTATGCAGAAAGTTGTTTTGGATATTTATGTACAATTTCCTTTCTAGGCCTATATTTCCATTAATCAGGTAGTCCTGAGAGGAGGGAGTGATTAGGCCCAGCCCATGGATTAGGACACTGGGGCTTCTAGAGGAAAGGTGCTAGTCTGAGGTCACACAGCCAGAATATGGCAGTGTAAGAAGTCAAAACCAGGACCCTTTGAGTACAAGAGCTTGCTCTGCCCCTGCAGTCTGTAGCTGCTGTCAGAAGAGGGGCTCACAGCATCCTGGGGGCAACATACCCACTTGTGTGGCACTTTTTCCTGATACCCACCCTCCCCAAACCCCAGGATGCAATACAGACAGTTCCCTACCTCCTTTCATTTAGCTGGAACATGGTCGTGGCTTTCCATCCCTTAGGCCTATTCTAGGCTTTCAAGGCCAGCTACGTCCTTCCCAAACTCCTGAGACATTAGGAATTGTCCTAGGCATTCATCCTGCTTCTCCTTATCATTTTTGTCTTCATAAGCAGAAGCAGCCCTGGGGCCAAGGGCTGTTGTGCATGATCTCACTGCACCCTCACCAATGCTCTGTGGTCCTGTTCACTCTCATTGTCTACATGAGGAAATAAGACTCAGAGAAGGGAAGGCAACTTGACTAAGGTCTATGACTCAGCTCTGCTACTACCTCAACTAGTGACCTTGACCCAGCCACTTCTCTCTCTGGTCCTTGTTGTCCCCATATTACAAGACAGGATTGGATTGGGTGTACCTGAAGCTGTCACAGCCCTATAGTTCTGTGGGTCTGCACTCCTTGCCATATCATCTCTCTGGGTCTTGTCCCATCACTCACCTGAATAACAGGAGAAAGACTATCTGCCCAGTCCTGTACAACCTGGCTTCTAGGGCAGATGCAAGCAGCTGGCATGGCCTATGTGTGAAGGTGGGTAGAAGTAGAGACAAAGAGGGAGGTGCAAATGTTCCTCACATACTCTGTGCTCATTTGAAAGGGAAGGGCCTCTGTCATACACCTTGGATCAACTCTGATCTCTGCCACTGTGTAACCCTATGACATTTGGCAAGCTACCTCACCTCTCTAGGCCTTTATTTCCTTATCTAGAAAAAGGAAATCATGTAGTGTCTACCTGATGTGAACATATCAGAAATCTAGCAGTGCAAGGACCCTTATCACACATCCCATAGCTTATTCCCAGTGAGGAAGTTTAAGACCAGGTGGAGGAAATGACTTATCTGGAGTGTTCTTTCTTTTGAAATGAGCATCATAAAAAAGATGAGAATATTATAGACATAAAATACACTTTTGCATTGCTCTCAACCCCCCTCAAAATATCCTAGAAATGCCAAAGCTTCAGCATCTATATTAGAAATAGACTTTTATATGTGAAGGTAATTCAACAGTTCCTTGCCCAGCCACCTGCCTTAGTTTGAAGTTCAGTGTATACTGTTAGTGTGTAGGTATTCTGTAGATGCCATGTCTAGATTTTTTTTAAATAAATTATCATTTGAAAAAAATGAAAGAAGAACCACTGTCTTGATGAAATGATCCCTTTAGCAAAGCAGAGACCTATAATTAGGAAAACCTATAATTAGAATTATGAGGCCATGAAAGGTCTCACTATCACCTGAGGACACCATGCTTCAGAGAGATACTGACTCAGCATTTTAGGCTGATGTAGACTGTTAATGTCAGCTTTGAAAACATTACATTGGAATAATGCTAATAATATACCCAAACACTTATATGGCCCACACAGTGTATTATGAAGTGTTCTAAGCTATTTACACGTTTAATGAAATTTCATCATTATTCTCCCCATTTTCCAGATGAGGAAACTAAGGCCAGAAGGGTTATAGTACTTTGCCAAAGGAAGTACAGTTAGGAATGATAAGTAAAGTTACAAATAATCTAAATCTAGGCATCCTTGTTTTAGATATTGTGCTTTTAACTACTAAGAAATAAACCTCCAATTGTGCATATAAAATCACATTCAGTTCCCCACACCAGGAACAGGAAGGAAGATGTTACCTGAACTTTTATCCAGGAAGTAGGCCAAGAGGCACCGCATGACAGCTTGGTGGCAAATCACCAATACATTTTCCTGTCGTTCTAGCTCCATTATAACCGGCTCCAGACGCTGAACCAGATCCTCATAGGACTAAAGGTAAGAGAAATCTTTGGATAAGGGGGATGAGGCATATTAGCCCAGAGAGGAAGAAATCAAACCTAGGAATCAGGAAACTTGATTCTGGGGCTGGGTGAGTTGTTTACCATGCAGTGTGATCTTAGGTAACTTATTTTCTTTATAGGGTCTCAGTTTCCCATCTGTTAAATGGGTGCAATCAATATAGTGGGAAAAATAGCAATACTCCCCACTACAAGATGTCTTAATTACACTGTTGACACTTCAAAACAATAAGGGTAACTTCAACTATAGGATTCCAAAATGGAAAACTTGGTAAAAAGAATCAGAAGAGGGTATAAAAGCTATCACTGTCCTGAGTGTATTTTACAATCATAGTAACCAAGGGGTTTGAGTTTTTAAATCCTTATAGAAACAGGATATAAGGCCTTAGGTGTGCACATTGTGGGGAGTTGGGACTAAGACTCTAATATAACTGGGAGTCCCTTAAAGGGCAAACCTTATACCCTATGTAAAATATAAAATAGAAAATTTCATCCATGGGCAAAACGAAGCAACAAGAAAATTTATCAGTCTCTCCATGACTTTTGGTGGAAAAAAATTAGGAAATGCCTTCTGTAAGAATTTACAGTTGCAAGTATTCCTATAGGTGGGTTGGTGACATGGAATTACACTCCCCATGTAGGTTAGAAAATGTTTTGATGAGAGTTTAATAAAAAATGGTTTCAAGTTGTTAACTCCCGGGAGTGCATGGAAGAAACAAATGGAAATTCTCTCTGGATTTTTTTCACCTCAGGCCACCTGGGATTTCCAAAACAAATTCTCACAAATACACGAGGAAATAACCTAGTATGGATAAGAATAATTAGAAAAACAAGAAGATAATTCTAAAAACTTAAAGGATGTACCATATAAAATAAGTATGTTTGAATTTTTAAGAAATAAAATGATAGACTGTAAGAAATAAGATGGTATCAAATATATGATGCAGATTTCAAAATAAACTAAACAGAAGTTCAGAAATAAAAACTGTAATCATTAAAATTGAAAACTAGCTAGATATGGTATAGTACATGCCTGTACTACATTCAGGAGCAAAGGCAGGAGAATTGCAAGTTCAAGACCAGCCTCAGCAACATATCAAGACTATATCTCAAAATAAAAAAATAAAAAAAGAGCTAAGGATGTTGCTCCGTGTGCGGCACTCTGAATTCAATCCCCCAAATCTCAAAAAATTAAAAATTAAATTGAAGGTATAAACAGCATTTTATATAACTTAAGAAAGAGTGACTTGGAAGAGAAAGCTGAAGAAATTACTCAGAATGCAGCAAAGATATACAAACAGCTAGAAAATAAGAAGAAAAGTTAGGTGATATGAAAAATAAAGGCAAGATTAACATATGTAACTGTATTCAGAAAAAGATAACAGAATGTGAGAGAATTTGGAAGATATAATATCTGATGGTTTTCTAGAACTGATGAAAATTCCAACTTTCAGATTCAGGAAATTCAATGAATCCTAAATTTAGATAAATAAAATGAAATTGATATCTATCCATAATTGTGAAGCTCAAAGGTAACAGAGATAGATTTTAAAAGCAGCAAAAGAGGGCTGGGGTTGTGGCTCAGTGGTAGAGCACTTGCCTAGCATGTGCGAGGTACTGGGTTTAATCCTCAGCACCACATTAAAAATAAATTAATAAAATAAAGGCATTGTGTCCATCTACAACTAAAACAATTTTTTTTTAAAAGCAGCAAAAGAAAAAAAAACTAACCAAGTTTCTTAGATTAGAAGCCAGAATGGTAATATCTTCAAAATGCTGAGAATCAACTGTCAGCTTAGAGTTTTATTCCACACCAAAGTTTCATTGGTGATTGAAGACATCCCCCACAAATAGTTTTAGAAAAAATAAGGAACTTCCAAAGAAAGAAGGGAAAAAAGAACTCTAAAGGCAGTCTTCAGGTTACAAGCAGCAAGAATGATCAAAGGATTTTATAAACAAGTAGTTAAATCTACTGAGATTTTATCTCACTCCTGTCAGAATGGCAATTATCAGGAACACAGGCAACAAAAATATTGGCAAGGATGTAGGGAAAATGGTACATTCATACATTGCTGGTAGGATTGCAAATTGGTGCAACTACTCTGGAAAGCAGTATGGAGATTCCTCAAAAAACTGGGAATGGAACCACCATTTGACCTGGTTAGCCCACTCTTTGGTGTATAACAAAGGAGTTAAAATCAGCATACTACAGTTATGCAGCCACATCAATGCTATAAGCAGTTTGATTCACAATAGCTAAGCCATGTAACCAAACTAGTTACCCTTTCATAGATGAAAGGATAAATAAAACGTGGTGATATACACAATGTAATATTATTTAGCTATAAAAAGAATGACTTTATGACATTTGCTGGTAAACAGATGGATCTGGAGACTACCATGCTAATGAAATAAGCCAGTCCCCCCAAAACCAAAGGTCGAATGTTCTCTCTGATACATGGATGCTAACTCACAACAAGCTGGGGAGAATAGAAGTTCAGTGGAGTGAATTAAACAAAGAGGAATGAAGGGAAGGGAGGGGGAATCAGAGTAGGAGAGAAAAGTGAATGAATCTAACATGACTTTTCCATGTACATATATGAATACAGCACAGCGAATCTCCACCTTATGTACATCCACAAGACTGGGATCCTAATTAGAATAAGACATACCTCATGTTTGTAAAAATATGACAAAATATACTGTCATGTATAACTAAAAAAACAAATAAAAAGAATAAAACATAGACAGGCTGGGCATTGTGGCACATGCCTGTAATCCTAGCAACTCAGGAGCCTGAGGCAAGAGGTTTGCAAGTTCAAAGCCAGTATCAGTGAGTTGAGGCCCTAGGCAATCTTGTCCCCCCAAAATAAAAAGGGTTAGGTTCTTTTTTTTTTTTTTTTTTGGTTCTAAAAAAAAAGACCCTTCCCCTCCAAAAAAAAGGTCTGACGAGGTAACTCAGTGGTTAAGCGCCCCTGGTTTAAATCCCCAGTACAAAAATAAATAAATAAATAAATAAACATTAACTAGATGCAGTGGTAATAACAACAGTGCTAATTCATTTGGGGGTTAAGACCAAGGTTGAACTAAAATATAAAACAACATGCAAACTAGGAGAAGGAGAATCCAGAGTTTTAAAGTTCTTTTATTATTTGGGGTGATGGTGGAGAGGTTGATTCTGCGTTTTGTTAATAACACATTAAAATGTTAATTGTTCAAATCAGTTGCATAACAACACATAGAAATGAATTGAGTGATTCTGAAGTATAATATTTAGACCTCATATCCTTATTAGGATAACTGCAAGAATAAAAAGAATCATGATGAAATATCTTAAATATGTTAAGGACAACCTCTAAAAGAATGTAAAAATTATATAACTTAAATATAGTAAAAACTCAATCCTAAAGGATACAGGAGAAGAGAAAAAATTAAGCATGGGAAGCTCAAGATAAGATAATAGAAATAAACTAAAAAAATCAGTAACTAAAATAAAAGTAAAGGTATGAAACTACCATTTTTAGTTTGAATTAGAAACAGCAAAATACAACTATAAGCTGTTTATAAGAGGCAAAAAACAAAAAAATTTTGTATGTCTCTTTTTAACAAAGCCTCAAAATATATAAAGGAAAATGATGGCAAATTAAGCCTGACTTTACATTATCATTGCTGAGGTTGAAGATAAAATGTGAAAGTTCTTTTTAACTGAACAGAGTATCTATTGTTTTGTCTTCCCAAATGCCCTGGTTTTCTGATAATTGTTCACAGGAGTTTGTTTCAGAAATGGAGTGTGATGAGCAAATGCTCTAAAATGTGGAACTGGCTAAGTGGGAGTTGGATAGAAAGCAATAAGTAGTCATTTCATATGCAAATAGGAAAATGATGGTCTGGCTCAAGTAATGGCAAAGAAGTTGATCAAAGTAATACCTATTGTCCTTTAGGATGATACCAACTGCCCAGAGAGACTGGAAATGTAGTGCATTTGGCAATAAAATGTCTTAAAATTAGAGTATGTAGAAGTATTTCAGGTTTTTCCAGTGAGGTGACCAGAGATAAAGTGTAGGATGAAGTGGGTCCTCCTAAAAGTAGAGAGAAAGCATTGTAGCTTTGTGTGTGTGGAGGGGTATTGAGAATTGAACCCAGGATGCTCTACCACTGAGCTATAACCCCAGCCCTTTTTATTTTTTAAAATTTTGAGACAGGGTCTCGCTAAGTTGCCAAGGCTGATCTCCAACTTGCAATCCAATCCTCTTGCTTCAATCTCTAAAACTGCTGAGATTACAAGTGTGCACCCCCATGCCTAGCATATATGTAGCTTTTTAATAAGAGAAATCTGTTGCATATAGCCATGAATTGATGGCCAATGGCCAAATCACTGTGTGCCTTGTAAGATGGCAGATGTTGCAAAACATGCTTTACCCTGTTTCTAAAAATGTTTTAAAACTGGAATTTTGGAAGTTGGAATGGAGACGCTGTGGAGGAGTTTTAAGAATTAGGCCACCCTCCAAAACTTACCTCTCCTTTGGGATAGCGGTAACGATATTTATCTTGGTCCCGTAGTGCAAATTCTTCAGGGTAGTGTTCTTGGATTTCTTCATAGGTCATCTCCTCACAGACACCCTAAGAGAAAGTATTGGGGGACACAAGCATTTGCCTGGTGAAATCCAGACAGCCTTTGCCATAGTTCTAAGACCAATAATATGGTACTTGGGACTTCTGTGAGCACAGCTATGGAGTTGTGTTTGTTATTTGTGGGTGTGTATGTGAATATATATGTGTGCATGGTGTGTACTTGTGTGAGTATAAAAACAATAGTGTGTGGATGGGGGTCTGTTCTGGTTGAGTATATGATGCTTTTCTATGATTGTCTCAGTAGGTATATAAGTATACAATATACATATAATTATGTATTTTTACAAATATGTAGGCATAAGAATTTGTGGTTGTATCTGCAAGTATGTAGTATGCAGCATGCTTGTTAAAGGACTTATGCCTTGCATATGTATTGTATTTGTGTGTGTGTGTGTGTGTGTGTGTGTGTGTGTGTGTGTTATGCCCGTGTGGATGTCTCTGTGGTATGTGTATCCATGCACATCTAAGTGTGTCTGCAGCACGTGTATCCATGAATTTGTATCTTTCATTGTGTTTCTGTTCTATGTATATTTCTATTCCTGTGTCTGAGGCCTGTGTGAATTTGCAGTAATATGCTTGAGGTTTTGTATCTGTGCTATGTTTATGTTCATGTTCATTATATGCTCCTCTGTGTCCATGTGGGGTATATATAGGGCTGCATGTGTCTATAATGAGTGTGTTCATATGAATCTGTAGGCATGTGTATGTATGTGTGGTATAGGCATGATGGTAGAAGAAGGTCCCTGTGTCTGTGAAGTTCATATGTACAATCATAAGCATATTTGTGGCAGATATCTGTGATTTTGTATGCAAATACACATGCGTGAGCACAATATAGTCATATTCTTCCATTCTATAGCATTTCCTATCCCTCCATCCTGACCCCTACTTTAGATAGAAAAATAAGTGACTGATCCTTATTTTTTAACAGGTGTCTGTATTTAACAGGTGTCTGTATTTCAGAAATTTCAGAGAGCAAAACTAGTAAATTTCTAATGGCTTTAGAATGGGTTTCAATCTCTTTATCCAAGGAAGTAATGAGTTCTTTGGAAGCTCTTCACAGAAGAGCTTCCAAGTTGGCTGAGAAATCTCCAGGAGTGAGGTGGCTGCTAGAGGTAGTGGCAAGTGATGTTGGGTTTCTAAAGTTTCCTTCGGAGTATGTCAATTCCAATTAAACCTTCCTGAAGTGGGAAAGTGGCCTCTGTTGTCTTTTGGGTCATTTACCAGGCTTCCTTCAGGGTTGTGGAACTGAACCCTTGTCACAACCTATAAGTAGCTCTGCAGTATCGACCTTCTCCAACTGCCACTGCCCATGGAAGAATGTGTACCCTATTCAGTACACAGGTCCTTCCTGATTGGCTTCAACTTTCAATTTTGAGGCAAGCTGGGAGCCTTTTGCCTGTGGCAATGGCCACTGACACTCTCTTGACTTTAGGCAAAATGCTTAATTCCCCTTAATTTTATTTTCCTTACTTGAGAAATGAGAATTACAATTACCATGTAGAAGTGTTTTGGATATTAGGGATAATATATGTAAAAGATACTAGTACAGGGTGTACAAGGTACATTTAAAAGACTCAATTGATGGAATTAAACATTAATAATGTAATCAATAATAGAAAATAAATCAGAAATTTAGGCATCATTGCAAATTCTTGCTTCTTCCTTACTCACCCCCCTGTAGCCAATTCCTGAGATTCTGCCTCCTAAATTTCTCTCAAATCTATTCCTTTATTCTACCATCCATTTACCAGCAAATGTCATAATTTCATTCTTCTTTACAACATTAACTAAACTCTTATGATGACAAGTTTACATATTTGCACATGTATGTTTTACTAAATAGCCCCTTTCTAAATATGTGTTCCTTTGTACATCTATATTTACATATGTATATGTGAAATATGCACACACATACATTTCTAAATTTATAGAAGCATTTTTAGCATGTTAACCTACCTCATGTAAGTTATCTACACCTGTGGTGAAGCTTTTATGTTGGGCCTTAACAACCATAACCTGTGAAGTACCACCCATTGCCAATGTACCTATAGCATAGGTAAGAGAAGGATATCCTGAAAGAGATTTCCTAGTCATCAGAGTTGGATCCTTCACCTCTCCCTCTTCCTTACTCCTTACACTGTCAAGTACCATTGACCCTATTATGTTGGGTCAAAGTCCTTCTTCATTCCATCTTCATACCACTATTCTGGTTCCACATGCCTTTGCCTCTTGCCACACTAATGCAGCCACCTGTCCTGACTGGTCTACATGCTCATCCTGGCATTGTTTTCACCTAGTCTCCATGCATGTACAGACTGGGCTTTAAAAATGGGAATTACATTCAGACCAATCTCCTTGACTTAGATCATGTCAATGGCTTCCCATAGATATTAGGGCAGGATCCAAAGCCCTCAACATGGACTATAAGACCCTGAAGCCTAGATCTTTTTTCAGACTCATCTCCCTTCTCCCCAGACCTCACTATCACTGTCCCAGAATCTCTGTCATTCTTTCTTTTAGTTCCCTAAACATGCTAGGGTCTCTTCTCACCTCTGAGCCTTCATATAAGTAGTTTCCCATCTCTGAACTATGTTTATTGTTCCACTCCAAGCCCATTTTGCATATTTCTTTTCTCATCCTTGGCTTCCTTCATGAATCTTTCCTTATAAATCTCTCTCACATGTGTGGTCAGGGGTACCCTCATCTTCTGATCTTCCACAGTCCCTTGTACTTCCTCTCTTGGAAACTTATGTCACACTGAGATAGAGTCTTGCTGTCTGCCTTTGGGCTCTCTAAAAGTAGAGTCCTTGTCTATTCCTGGCCTTCCAGGGATCCCTGAGACATAGAATAGTGTTGAGCACTGGATGATTGTCAAGAAATGTTTGTTGAATTAATTTGGTTCCCCATAAGAACTGGAGCAAAGACAACCCCAGGGATAAACCCATACTCAAACCCCCACTCTGTCAGGAGATTCACCCCTTCCATCTCACCGCATCAATCTCATTCAGGGCCTTCCACTGCTCATAGGGGACACCCAGGGCTTCAGCTGTCTGGATGGTCCTCTTCATGTGGCTGGTCCATACTTTCAGGGAGTTGATACACTGGGACTGAATGAAGTTGGCCAGTGCATAGGCATACTAGGGATGGGGTGCAAAGGAAAAGATGAGGGGGAAAGGTGAGAAAGATAAGGTATCCATGAAAACAAGCTCAAATCTTCCACAAATTGTAGAGTGGAGATATCCCAAATTTATAAAAAGGCATACCCTTGAGAAGGGAGGGATAGGAAGAAGTTATTCAACAAATACAAGATTACAGTTAGACAGGAGAAATAAGTTCCAGCATTCTATTTCACAGTAGAGTAAACATGATTAAAAATAAAATGTTGTGGGGCTGGGGTTTGTAGAGCGCTTGTGTAGCATGTGTGGGGCACTGGGTTCGATACTCAGCACCACATAAAAATAAAACAAAGGTATTATGTACAATTACAACTAAAAAATAAATTAATTAATTAAAAATAAAATGTGTGTAATTCAAAATAGCTGACATTTTGAATTTTCTCACCACAAATCAATGATAAATTCATGAGGGAATGGATCAATATGCAGTATATAGATATAATGTATATGTATGTTGAAACATCACATTGTACTTGATAAGCATATGCATAATTACAAAGTGTAAAACAAAATAGAGCCATACTCTTTCCCATGTGGTTAAAGGTCAAGGAAACAGAAAAGAGTATGTGTGCTTGCACTTATGTATGTCTATGTATGTGTTTGCAGTCACTCACTGATGCTTGCTCACTAAGTACCCTACTAGGATATTCACTCATTCAAACAGATCCACCTCTAGCATTTGTGGAGCCCAGGACAAGAATACAAATGCTCGCATACCACCCAAAATGTTCCTTCCTTTTCCTTCCATTTTGGGCACCATCCTATGTTTCTATATGGCCTGAGTACAGTGATGGGATTATAGTTGATGAGAAAGTACATTTAAACCAGACCTGGTGCACTGTGCCCATAACAGTGCAGGATGGGCCTGGTGTGTGTGTGTGTGTGTGTGTGTGTGTGTGTGTGTGATTATGAGTGCAGGAGACACACAGATGGAGATGGCCATGTGTCCATCTGGGCTCTGTGTGTGTGGGTAGGGCAGGGCTAGCTCCCGTCAAGAGACTCCAGGTACAGGTGGTGCCACAGGGGAGGGTGCTACATCCAGGCAGGGTGATACCTCCAGTGACCTCTATCTTTGCTCTGAGGAGCACAAGAAATGAGTGTCAGATCAAAGTCTACCTCAAGGGGAGGCTGCCAGTCTGGAGGTAAAAAAAAATAAAATAAAAAGAGCCCCGAGGTCCATGCCTTCTGGGGCAACAGTGTACTTGGGACACCTCCCATATCTCCAGCAGGGATGTTGAAATCAAGCAGAAAGACCCGGTTTTCAGTCTTTGCTTTGTCTTGTATCAGCTGTGGGATCTGCGACCTGGGGGACCTCTTTGCTCCTCTCTGAATCTCACCTTTCTCATCTATAAACTGGTGATGGTACTGGTCACCCCAAAGACCTTTTTTTTAAAATTAAGTCAGGCCACACATGTGGAAATAGATGGCACCATGACTGTGCATAACAATGAATCTCCCTCCTGCACTTTATTTCCCAGTTGTTTCAGCCGAAGTGAATCCTCCCAGCAAGCAATACATGTGCTAAAAATCCCAGACAATTGGACCATGAGGTAAGCTTTGATCAGACACCCACTTATGCTCCTCAGAGCAAAGACAGAGGCCACTGGAAGTGTCACTCTACCCTGAGGCACTACCTGTACCTGGAGTCTTTTGACTAGAGCTAGCCCCTGCTCTGCCCACACAGCCCAGAGCCTAGCTGGACACGTAGCCATCTCCACATGTGTGTCTCCTACACTCACAAATGTACACACACACACACACACACACACACACACAGGAAATATATCCCTTTGTGCAGCCAACATCCAGAATGTGGTCACTATGCCTCACTGGGGGAGGACAGTCATGCCCTGTGAGAGTCAGAGATAGGCCAGATCAGGAGAGATGAAGCCCAGGGTTTGGCAACCTGCCTAGAAGAAGTTAACAGTTGTCAGGGGGCTTCCTGGAGATCCAGATCTTGGAGCAAGAGTTGGGCCTTGGAAGGGAACAGGGGAGGCAGGAAGATGCAGTAGGCAGTGGGGATAATTAATGACGGTATGATTCCTGCAGAGGGTTGGGGAGAGAAGACAGCATTTTCCCTGAGTTGGGAAGAATGGGTACTCAAAGTAGGTCTCTCAAGGGAGCTGTCTGTGCACATGATGATTGCCAGATGACAGAATGGCAGAGGAAGGCAGCAAGGTGTGTATGAACAACGGCACAGAATTGTGAGAAAGATGAGGAGACCTGTCATTCAAGGGCCAAAGGTGGTCATTGTGATGGGATGGAGAAGCAGCCAGATTTGGGCAGGTCAGAGTGAAGCTACCAGTTTGAAGGAGCATTTGGCCTTTGGAAGCAATTAAGTTGCTATTTTAACACTGAGTGTCTGACAGTATAGAAGGGCATGAGTGACCTGAATCTGCTTCTACCCCATCATTGGGCACCCCCTACTCAGGACCCAGGTACTGGCAATTTTACCTGGGCCATCTCAGGCAGCCCATCTTAGTGCATGGTGCCCTCCCTACCTGCTTGCCCCGAGGTGAGAGGCCAGAGTCACCTCCGATGCGGCCTTTGAGGTTGAGTTCACTCTCACCATGCCGGCATAGGTATATGGAGCGTGGTGTGACATGGATGTTCATGAGATAGTAGACTGTGCGGCTCTGGATGTGGTCCTGTACTCGGTTTACCATGTAGCGTGTGCCCACATCGAAGATCTTGATGTAGGACAGGTGGCTGGGCCAGACACAAGTAGAAGGGCAGATCAATGTCTGATGGTAGGGAGGGCTGATCCCAAGAGAAAACCCCAGCCACACACCTTGCTTTCAAGTTTCCTCTGCAATTCTGCTCTTTTTTTTTTTTTATTTTTTTATTTTTTTATTTTTAAGAGATGTTTATTCTTTTTTTTTTTATTGGTTGTTCACAACATTACAAAGCTCTTGACATATCATATTTTCATACATTAGATTGAAGTGGGTTATGAACTCCCAATTTTACCCCAAATGCAGAATCACATCGGTTATACATCCACAGTTTTACATAATGCCCAATTAGTAATTGTTGTATTCTGCTATCTTTCCTATCCCGTACTATCCCCCTGCAATTCTGCTCTTAACTAACAAGATTCTATGGTTTGCCCTGTTCTGAGTATCTGTTCTAGAGTCTTAGTTCCTGACTATCCTACAGGACTTATTGTCTTCTACCATACCCCTCTTTCTCCTTTTCTCAGTTTCAGCTTGAGCCAAGCTGTATTTTTACCTTCACTCATTCCAAATCAAGCAGCTGGGGCTCTCTTCTCTGTGATTCACACTGCTGCAATAATCAGAAATAGAGTGATCTTCTGTATCTCTGAAATCAACATTTCATTGGCAGCTTCTGTCTTGTCCATTTCTCCTCCCCTTTAAATACTAATTGAAGTCTTCCCCTCTCTGTTTCTTTTTTTGCTACTTAAAATGTTTTATTTGTTCTTTTTAGTTATACATTACAGTAGAATGTTTTTTGACATGTTATCCATATAGAGAGTATAATTTCTCATTCTTCTGGGTGTACATGATGTAGAATCACATTGGTCATAGGAAAGTAATGTTTGATTCATTCCTGCCATGATACAGTGTACTTTATATTCTACATCTGGGTGTGCATGTGCCTGTTTATCTCTCCACACTCAGAAAATGGAGTTAGACTGGGTGTTTTCCCTATTTGCCATGCAGTCTACAAACACCCTCCTCTGTTCTAGGCACTGTGTTTGGGGTGGGACCCAGCATCTGCCCTTTGGGAACTCTTAGGCCAGTCAGGAACATATATTGGAAATATGTAATCAATGTTCATCATTCATTTCACAAATACTCACTGGAAGGTGTGCCAAGCACTGGGGCATAGGGATATAGAGGTGGTCCACAACATCATTGGAGAACTTGTGGTCCCTGCTCCAAGCTCCTCAACCACCTATCTGTGGAGGAGCTGAGGAATAAGTTGGAGATACTGGCTAATCAGAAGATTAGAACATGGAGCAAGACTTCTGAGGCCACTGATGTACCAGTCATTAATCCTTTGATTGTTAGATTGTAAGGAGTTCAGAGAGATTCCTCAGGTGTGAGAAGCTGGGCTTTTGAGCTATGCCACCAACACTGGTTGCACAGTAAGAAAATCAAGTGAACTTAAATATTTGTACTAGCTCAAAGTCATTGAGGAGTTTAATTCAGGAAACTTTTCCCTTGATCTCCCTAGAGAAGTCCTTTATGTCTATACCCACTCATTATGCCCAGACCTATGATCCATGTCCAATGATTCCCACAGAGCACTTGGATTTGTTGAAATTTTCCATGCATCTGGCAGGGATTGGAGATTTTAAGGTGCATGAATCCCTATGACTGTCATACAGAGAAGAGATTGTTATCTCTGTGAAATACACAAAGATAAAGCTATTTGCCTAAGGTCACCTTAGGAAGTAGACTTGGGCTTTAACTCTAAAATGGTCCTCTTTCTAATCATCTCTCCTAGGATCCTTAGAGCCTAGGAGTAGAAAATATCTGATGTAACATTGTTTCCTAGTTATTCTCTGTTCCTAACACTAGGTACAGCATGTCTCTAGGAGAACTTCCAAATCACTCAGCTATGTCTGACATTTTATGTGCCTTCACACATGAGCCCCAGCTGACCTTACCTCATGTTACCAAGCTGTACCCATAGCTTCTTTGTTTCATTCTTATCTTCATGTCTTTGTTGTACCCTTGGAATATCCCTTTGTACTTCTCTCCTCTTACTCAGATTTCTAACTGGACCATTACAAAGTGCTGTTCTTGCTTAAAAAGATGTCCCTTGCCAGATTTCCCTCGTTGAGCTCCTATGCATCCATCCTTCAAGAATCAGTACACTAACTCTCTACAGAAAGTCATCTTTGATCCCAGGGTCATGTAAAATCATTTAGAAGTGCTCAACACCAAAAGTATTACAGTAGCTCATTCATATCCCCCACCATGTGTAATTTATTTATTTATTTATTTATTAAAGAGAGAGTGAGAGAGGAGAGAGAGAGAGAGAGAGAGAGAGAGAGAGAGAGAGAGAGAGAGAATTTTTAATATTTATTTTTTAGTTCTCGGTGGACACAACATCTTTGTTGGTATGTGGTGCTGAGGATCGAACCCGGGCCGCACGCATGCCAGGCGAGCGTGCTACCACTTGAGCCACATCCCCAGCCCACCACCATGTGTAATTTAAAATAAAAATAATAAACTTATGATAAAGTAGGTCCTACCAAATTCTAATTTTATATTTTTTTTCCATTTTGATTACCTTTGTTTTTTTTTGCTGTTTTTATATTAAGTATGAAATGTTTTTAGGATAGTTTTCTTATTTTTGAAGCCCCCACCTTGCCAGTACTCTAAGCACGTTTATTCTGTCTATTGGGCAACCCAGCTTTTCTAGATCTCTTCCTGCAAGTTCGACAAGGTTTCCTCCTCTGTGGAACCATCCTCCAGCCATCACTTGGTTTTCTGTCCCCAAAATTGTGACCAACTGTGTATAGACTGTCCTCTCCAACAAACTGGAAATTCTATCAAAGCAGGGATATCCCTTCCTTCTTGGAGTTCCTTAGGCACAGCTAAGGCTGTCCTTAATGCACAAACTATAAATGTTCATTGATGGAAATATAATGAAATAAATCTGGCCTACTATATATATCGTCTTTAGTTCTTTAGGCCCAAACCAATACATCAAAAAATAACAGAGCATTTGTAGTAGTCTAGACCCAGAGCTGGGGGCTTTCTTGATGCCATTCTTTCACTTCAGCCTCCCTTCTTTAATCTCCTAAAACCATATGCTATTAGTCCACATAGTACGTTTGTGGAAATTTGAAAAGTTTATACTTTCCTCAGAGCATACAGAGCCACACTCTAGCACACACATACCGAAGTTGAACAAAGCAAAGCTGTGAAAATGCACATAAAGGCCATGGTCCTTGCACTGTCAACTCCCCCATCTGACATTTTTTTATGTTATAGGGATATAAGAAAGGAAAAACCAGCTGGAAGTTTGGGAATATGGGTTTCAGTTTATGCTCTGCTGCTGACTCATTGTATTATCTCAGGTAAACCTTTAACCTGATCTAGGCCTCAGTTTTCCCTTCTAAGGAGTGGAGTAATAACAATGCTCATTTCTCAGTACTTCAGTTGGGTAAAGCTGAAAGAATGTTATGTAAACTTCTTAGGGTGGTGAAGATTATTTATGTCCTTTTTACAATTTACACTTGAGCCTCAAAGAGTGTAGGTGAACAGGACCCTTTCTCATTTTAATCAATTTTTAAAGAAAGCAGGGTTCTGGGAACAGTTTACATCTAAACTCACATCTCTTATGGACTGGCAGTTAATACCTCTCCTATCTTTAGCTGGTATTATGATGGAAAATATATTATTTTTCATGGATATTCCCATATGCCAACATATTATGGAAGCTTTTTGAGAATAGAACCCATTTCTATTCCCCCTGTTTATAATCTCTACATACACCACAGCCAAAAAGGGGCCAAATGATTGCTGATTAAAGAGGTATGTGAGTGTTGTGAGAAGAGCCATGATAAGAAGATAGAATATATGGTTAGAGTCCTAGTTCTACCCCTCACTTGTGTTGGGAGCTTGGGAAAGTAGTTTCAATCCTCTAAGAATTCAATTTCCTCTTCTTAAAAAATTTTATGATGATATTTATCAGTCTCCTTTACAGGGCTTCTGTGTGGGATTCAATGGAAGAAAGAAGTGGAACATGTTTGAAAACTGAAGTATTATTGAGTGTGAAGAATACTTTTACAATAATAGTAGCAAACACCCATGGGAGGGAGGCATTTGTTTTTAGAAATAAAGGTTCTGATCTGTCCATATTGCTCAGGAAGGCACTATTTCAGTCATCTCATGAATACCTCACACTGCCATGAAGACAGATCATCAAGTTGTTCCCCTGATGTTAAAAATAGAGAGGTTGGAGGCCCAGGGAAGGAGGATGTTTCCATATAAGGACATCAAAACTACACTAAGGATCCAGGTCTTAACTTTGGGATGTTGGGCTCTTACCTGTCCAATTCATCATCCAAGGGTTGATAGTTGACCTCATAGCATTCAATTCTCTTTAGAAAATCTTCCAGAACTTTTTCTCGGTCACAGTCTATGTAATCAGGGCTGCCAAGTTTCACTTGCTGGAAGAAGGGAGAAGATCAGAGGGACCAACGGATACATTGTAAGATAAAGACTCTGAAAGTGTTCTTGGGAAAAGCCCTTAGAAACCACTGAATACAACATCCCTTATTATAAAGGTGAGAAAATTGAAACTTGGAGAACCTTGCCAGAGTTTACAAAAATCAGTTAAGTGAAGAAAAGATTAGAAACTCCTCATTTCTTATCTCCAGGTGGTTAGAAAAAGGACTATTTTATTGCATTCACTGCCACAGCACACACTGTTTAGGAAGCATATTAATAAGAGGACTAGACATTGTGATATAAAAAAAATGGCTACAGAAAAAAGAAGCAGACATCTTGGCTAGGAGTCATAATGGCTCACATATTTGGAGCCTTTACTGGAAGAATGTGACATATTCTCTTTGGTTTTCTGAAGGGCTAACAGTTCCTATCCCCCAATATCCATTTTCTCTTTTCACATTTCCCATCCCATTCCCTCCCAGTAATGTTAGCCTACACAGAATCTGGAAATCATTCCAGATGCTTCTTTTTATCATCCCTTATCTCTTAGCAGGCACCAAATCCTCTCCATTCCCTTCTAAATATTCATTTTCTCTTGCCTATACTAACTAGGGCTTTGTGACTGACTAATTTGTCTAGGCATGTTATTTCTGATATATTTACCATACTGGCAGCCAGAAGGGTATATCTAACATGCATATCTGATTATGTATTCTCCAGTTTAAAACCCATTAAACCCATTGCCATTTCCTTATATCTTTTAGCCCAAAGTGTCAACTATTCTTAGCACGTGGCTCATGGCTTATCATGAGTAAGACCAAAATTATTTCTTAGTCTTTATTCTCACTGCTTCCCATTCCATCACACATTTGATGTAGCCAATCTAAGCTATTTATAGCTCCCAGAGATGTCATACTTAGTATAAGCTCTTTCTTATTCCCATTCTTTACCAGCAAAATTCCCATCCATTCTTCAAGGTGCATCTCAACTATTACCTCCACGGGAAACTTTCCCTGACATATCATTACTACTGTATTCTGAAACTCTCCCCTGTTTCCTCATATCAGCTTTGATCTCAGAGTTCTGTCTATATACTTTCCAGTCTCCTTCACTTGGCCATAAACTTAAGAGAAGGATTTTCACGTAACCATTTCTATGTCTCTATTGCCAAGAATGGCCCATCCTAGATATATAATGAATTTATATTAAATCAATAAATAGATGGATGGGTATATGAAGAGCTAAGAGAGGAATTGGACATGTTATATGTCTCAAGAGGTAAAAAAAAAAATTAGAACCAATGATTGGAAATTACAGGGAGGAAAGTTTCAGTTTGATTGGGCTACATTTGTTGAAGGCAGTGAGCTATTTGTCCTTGCATGTATTAAAATAAAATCTAAACAAACATTTAACTGAGATTTCAAGTACCTGATGGAGGATTGTAGGAGATGATCTTTAAGGGCATCTTATATTCCTAAGCTCTGGTAATTTAATGAGGTAGAGAACAACAAAATGTTGTGAATGATCTAGTTCTAAACACATGGCTAGATTCTAAAAGTGGTGATCAGGCTCTTTACATATTGGCTTTACCTAATTCCATGGGGTTATTGTGGGCCAGGATGGTCAGGGAATTGTGCCTATGCAAAGTGAAAGCAAAAGCTCAGGTAAGAGTACTTCCTTTAATCTTACAGAAATAAACTGGGTATGATAGCACACATCTGTAATCCCAGGAGCACAGGAGGCTGAGGCAGAAGGATTGCAAGTTCAAAGCCAGCCTCAGGAACTTAGTGAGACACTAAGCAACTTACCAAGACACTGACTCATATTTTAAAAAAAAAGAAAGAAAAAGGGCTGTGGATATGGCTCAGTGGTTAAGCACCCCTAGGTTCAATCCCTGGCACCAAAAAAAAAAAAATCTTACAGAGATCTTTAGGTAGGAGCCAAAACTAAGACAGCAAAAACTAAGAAGGAAAAGTAACTGTTTCTCCTTACCTTGATGTTTTCTGCAATGATATCAGGATCATTACATATAGACTCAATGAAAAAGACCTGTAAGAGAAACATAAAAAAGATGTCTAAGTCTGGGGATGTAGTTCAGTGGTAAAAGTCTTGCCTAGCATGCATGAGGCCTTGAAAGATAGAAAGAAAGAGAGACAGAGGTTTGATCTCTAACTCTGAAAGGGGATGTTCCAACTGGGAATTATATTTGGTAGGAGTCAAACATAGATGGATCCCTTCTCCCCCTGAGTGATCTCCAGGGGCATGTCTGACAATAGAATCTCATACAGTGATGTTTCAGGCTTGAGTTTTATGAGCTATTCTGGCCTTAAACTAAATGACCCTGGATTGTTGTTTTGTGTTTTTACTGATTTTTAAGTCTGTTGTATTTTTTTGTAGTGGTTTTCAACTCCTTCATCATTGTCATGCCCCACCCTCAGTGTCAACCTGTCATTAACCATTTTCCATTGCCTAATGTGGTACATCTCCTTTCCTATTCTGTTTTGCTGCTTCTGACTATGCTCCGGAAAACCAGACAACCAAATTAATATATTGAGCCTATGATAGCCAATTTGGTTGTTCTGAGTATCCTATTTAGTCTTTCTTTGGAGTTTGTACTGGATAAGTAGGTTCTAGACAAGAATGGGTCTATTACTGTACCTTGTACCCATGTTCCTTTGCAAACTGCAGAATCAGTGACCGTCTTTCTCTGGTAGTGTTGGTGGCATCAAAAACCTAGAGATAGGTAATGAAATTGGCTTACTCTGTATCTAGTGTTGACAGAACACTCACTCTTTTTCCATGTCTGTGCTAAGTGGAGGGCTTCTAGAAAGCGGTAGACTTTTTAGAGGATCTTGAAGGAAAGGAAGAATTAACTTATCTCAATTTCACAAACACTTATCAAGCACTTTCTGTCTGCCCAGAAATGTACCAGATCCTGTGAGTATAATAAGGTAAAAGAAAAACTGTAAGTTTTTATTAGGATTATTTTACAGGTGGAGTAACTTAGGCATAGAAGAAAGACTTACCTTCACTAGTCACTAAGAGTTGCTGACAGAGCAGAGCTATTGGTTTCCTCAAGTCCTACATGAGGCCTCTTCCTTCCTTATCAACTTAAAAGTCCTTAAGAGTAGGAAACAACTCCCTAATCTCAGCAACTTAGATCAGACCCTTTGCAAATTTAAGAATCTTTTCCTTCTTTAGAAACTGGGGATGTATAGGTAAATCTCTAGAACTCAAAAATGTTTGTACTATAGTCTTATATTCCAGTAGAGCCCTGCTGAATTCTTAGGGGTTCATTAGTAGTACATAGTGGTTAAGAGTGGAGATTACCAAGCTACACAATCTGGATTTCAGTTTGGGCCCTACCATATACATGTTGTGCTACCTTGGGAAAGTATGTAATCTCTCTGTTCTATTCTTCCAGGCTTTCAAATGAGGCATGACAATATCTCATGGGGGTAGTGTGCAACTAAATTATTAATATGAGCAAAGTACTTAGAATAATATATGGAATAGTTAATTCTCAGTATATATTAGCTATTTTCCATTGCAGCAGATGCCTAAAGAAAATAATGGAAATTTCTTTACCGCAACATGACCTTCCTCATGGCTAAGATAGTTATGAACATCCTTCAGGGCTGCCAATGCACACTGCCTGAAAAATATACAGAAAGAAACAGACAATCCTTATCTCCAAGATGGTTTTCTCTCTCTTTTTCTGCATTATCGTTTGTACCATCTCTCATATATCTTACACTAAATTATTCATCTTTTGAACATCTACACAGAATGTACTATGTTCTAGGCACCATGCCAAGCACAGAGGGGTCAAACAGTTGTAATTGGATCTGTGTGTACAGCTTAGAGGCAGGAATAAAGTGACATGCTTGGGAAAGTCTAAGTAATGACAGCAGACCCAATTTTAAGTGTTTCAATGCTTGTGATAAGGAAACTCAAGCTAAATATCATATCAACCCAAGTAGGGCTTAGGTATGTGGTCTTTAAAGTTAAAGTCATGTCGTGACATGAGTAATATTGTAAGTGTAGGCATTACAGTGGCAATGTATTTTCAGCAAAAAAAAAAAATCTCTTTAGTGATTACTTGTAGCTAGGTTCTATGGTGAGGACATGGATTAATAAATGAGACCCAGGCTCCATTGTGGAAGTACTCAGAATCACACAGGGGAAAGAGATCTTAAGGTTGGCCAAGCTATTTAGACTTTCATCTCAAATGCTAGGCTAAGAAGTTTCTACTCTCCTGTTAGAAGTAGAAGAACATAAAATGTTCCTGATAAGAAGATGGTTAGCAGGATTTGAGCAGGGATGTCCCAATTACCCTTTGAGTAGGGCTTTGTCTCTTACCCAGGTTACTTTGTCCCACTCTCCCGTGATCTGAAGAAAGGCCTCCCTCAGCCAACGGGTAGCACAGGTCCGTAATATGTTGGGTACTTACTTCCTGATAAGTAGGGCCTCCATGTTGTCTGGGAGAAAGAATTCGTAGTTCTTGTAGCTCACTGCCTCTCGTCGATACTGGCCTAAATTAAACACTGAAAGCAGGGAGCCCTAGTGAAGAAGTTGGGAAGATCCCAGTGGCCAAAAAATGTCCTTGCTTAGAGGGACTCAGAAGAAGGTATAATTTTAAGCAATAAAATGTGCATGTAAAAATTCAAATTATAAACTACCAGCCCATTATTTTCCTCATAACAGCCCTGCAAGTTATATGGATGACCATTCCCACTTTATAAATGAGGAAAGTGAAGTTAAGAGATAGAAAATAACTTTCACAGTTAAAAAGTGGGGATCTAGGATTGAAACCCAAGTATGTTTGGCTCTAAAATTATTATATTTTATCATAAACTGCAACCTTCTCAATGTCTTACTCCACTGGAAAGATGAAGAGACAGAGATTAAGGAAGTAAAATCAATCAATCACCAGGGTCAAACTGAGTGAGGTGATAACAGACATACACTAGGCCTTCTAACTCCTATTTCATTTTTCTGTATCAAGACAAAGAATTTAAATCTAAATCTCTAGTCCATACTCTCCTACTTGTAATGATGAAAAGTCATAGGGGAGAAAAGGAATGAAGGATAAGAGGATAAGAAGCCAAGCAGGGAATATTTCATTCATTCATCTAACAAATACTATTGATGACAATTCTGTGAAGAAGGATATGAGTTCTGGATCTCAGAGAATAACAAGGTCTTCATGATGGGGACTTCAAGGAGCTCACAAATCAGCAGGTAGGACAGCAAATTAACCAGTAAAGAGAGAGTTCCCATGTAATTTGTTAAGTGCTCTGGTGAACAATATAGAGTTATGCAAAAGAGTGAGGGAGAAGGAAAGACAAATTCCATCTGGATTGATCTGAGATTTCTTAGAGAAAGTGGCATTGAAACATGCTTACTGGGGTAGGTGCCTTTTATAGGTATGCATAGAAATGAGGGTAGGGAACAAGGGCATTCCTGGAAAAGAATAGCTCAAGCAAAGGTATAGATAGTATCAGCAGATGAGACTATTTGTGGATGGTGTGTCATTCACTGGGGTTGGGGCCTGAGAGGCTGGAAGGGACCAATTGTGGAGGCCTTGAATTTAAGGAGCCTTGGTTTAAACCTGCAGCTCAAGGGGACTCTTAAAGGCTATAGTTATGTCTGCTTTGTGCTTTGAAAAAAGACTATGTAGGCCTCTGTGAGGAGTGAGTAGAATGGAGCAGATAGGAAGAGGGGGGTCATGGCAAAGACCCATGTGCCACAGTACCATGTGTCCCTCCACTCAGCATAGGTTCCTCAGAGCTTGTAGTCCTCCCTGAAATTGGTTGATTCTCACCTTCCCTTCTGCTATGTTACCCTCCTCTCTTATGACCTAGCATAAATATACCCAATCTGGGAAGTTTTTATTACCTTCCAGTTGACAATTTCATTTCTAAGCCCCCTAAGCACCTTGCTCAGGGACTTCTAGGTGATACGAGGTATTCTTATGTATCATAATCAAGTTAAGAACTCTTTAAGGACAGGACACAGTCTATTTTGTTTTTTCATCCTCAATGCCTGGCATGTGTTTTGGCACATGGAAACCTATTGGAAAACTCTCCATTGGTGGAGTAGGGAAAGAACAAATGAGGGGGGCAAAGAGAGGATCTGGCGTCTAAGATGTAGCTCAGCAGTACTGTGTGCTTATCATGTACTAGGCTTTGGATTCAATTGCAAGCAGAGAGAGAAAACTTGAAGAAAGGGAAGAAAGATGAATGGAGGGAAAAGGGTATATGGATAGGATGTTGGGATGGGCAAGGGAAATACAGAGAGGAAGTGAATAGAGAAAAGGAGAGTACAGAACCAATATAGGAACATTTTTCTCTTCCTATCAGTAGGGCCAATGCATTAGGTCTAGCACAATAAGTGTCAGGCTTGGAGTCAAACATATCCTGGTTCTGTCACTTACAGCTATTTGCCTTTAGACAAGGCATTTCATGTCTTCGGCCTTAATTTCTCCAACTATGAAATGATGAAGATGTGATAATGCTAATAAGAGTAGTGATGTTGGCAGTGCAATTATAGCAATGATAATAAAACTAGTATACTGCTCTGGTCAGAAGGTTGTTTTTGTGGTCATGAAACATCTTGAGAGCAGGCATTAAGTCTTTTTTCTTTTTTTGTACCAGGGATTGAACCCAGAGACGCTTAACCACTGAGCCACATCCCCAGCCCTTTTATTTTATAGTTTCATTTTCATTTTGAGACAAGGTCTCACTAAGTTGCTTAGTGTCTTGCTAAGTTGCTGACGCTAGGTTTGAACTTGCAATCCTACTACCTCAGCCTCCTGAGCCACTGAGATTATACACGTGCACTACCATGCCCAGCAGCATTAAGTCTTAATACTAGTTTTCGTGTGCTTACCACCCATCATGGGACTGGGCATAGAGTATTACTCAAGAAATTATAAAATTTATAAGAATGTAGTGGCAGTGATATAGTATTAGTAGTAATAATGGTAGTAATGTAATCCAGGTAATAATGGTGATGAGGCATTTTTGATACTGAGGGTTTTGGCCTCCTACCTTACTCAGTTCTCTACCAGTGTCTGCAGGAGGGATGTATAACAGAAGGTTTCAGAGACATACCTTTAGTTGGTGTTCCTACCCAATTAAGATATCGTGTGAGCTTCGTGGAGATATAAGTCTTGCCTCTAGCTGGTAAACCCACCATGATCACCATCGTTGGGGAATTGGTAAACTGGGGTATGGATGCTGGAAGACAAACAGAGAGTCAAAAGCTTATCCCCAGAACTATATAATATTCTGGCATTAGCTCAGAGATGTAGAGTTGAAAAGAACATCTCTCCCACCATTACAAAGGAAAAAAAAAGCTGAAAACTGCATACTAATGACTTTCTTTGAACTCATAATAAACTGAGGTTGCAAGATAAATAGCTAACTGCAAACATGTAAAAACAGGCATCTGCTGGGAGCAAGAGGACACAGGCATTTGCTTACCTGGGGCAGATACTGATGAGCAACATATAAACTCCTAACAAGATGCAACTAAAATTTATAAATGAATTGCTAAAGGCTAGTTGTGGGCCAATGTGAGAATGTGAAGCACATAGGGTCTGTTGACATAGATGGTTTCATATCCTTTTGTTATTTTCTTCCAGGAATTCTACCAGGTGCTGTCAGGGAAGACTGAGAAGGATCCTGAGAAAGATATCTTGTAGTTCTGGACTGGGGAGGAAAATGGAACAAATAACCATTGCTGAAATTCTGCTGAGACCATTGCCTCTATATTCTCTATGGGGTTAAAAAAAGCCTTAATATTTATGGAGAAAGGCAACAAAAATCTGTAGATGAGAGCACTGGTGGAAACTCACTGCTGCTGGTAGTGCAATGGTCAATACCAGACAAATCTACCCTATTCTTCTGAGGGGGACCCCCCCCCTTAAACTGCAGAAGGAAGGGCAATAAAACTGAGAGCACTGGTGAAAACTCTGTATATTTAAAGGAGAGAAACGAAGGAAAGAGTTATAGTCCAGGAGGGGCAGGAAAATATGCTAGGCCCACCATTACATTTGGAGGAGGGACAGAAATATTTGTGAAAGTCGTACCTCCAACACGCAGGGTAAACCTGCCTAAGACTGACTTAATCAGAATAACATGGAATGCTCTAGTCTCCTATTCCTCACTACCAGGCTAAAAATAATAGTGAAGTTGGGCATAGTGGCACATGCCTGTAATTCCAGTGACATGGGAGGCTGAGGCAGGAGGATCTTAAGTTCAAGGCTAGCCTCAGCAGCTTTGTGAGAACCTAAGCAACTTAGTAAAACCCTGTCTCAAAATGAAAAAAAGGGAGGCTGAGAATGTGGCTCAGTAGTTAAGTGTCCTGGGTTTAATACTCGATACCAAAAAGAAAAAGGAGTGAAATAGTGAAATATATATATAAAAGATGCAAGAGATAGATTGTCTCCAGGAAGCAGCCCAAAAGGCAGAATCTAGGATAGAATAAAAGTCCAAAGATACAATGCAGTCATCAGAACCAGACTCAGTTATGATGAAGATTTTTGATTTATCAGAGGATTTAAAATAGATATTATTAATGTGTTAAAGACTCTATTTGAAAAGGTAATTATGAATGATCACACAGATGATTTCAGAAGGTGGATGGAAAGTGTAAGAAATAATCAAATTAAGTGCAAAAGAAATGGAGGAAAAAGGAGAAAGAAAGAAAGAAATGAAATGAAAAAAACTGCACAAAATAATAGTTGTGGAACAATACCTAGAAGTGTAACATATACATGCTTAGAAAACAGAGAGGGAAGAAATAGCAGGGCAGAAGAAATATTTGAAAGCATAGTAACCAAAAATTTCCAAAATTAGTGATTAACAGCAAAAAATAGATCTAAAAAATTAGAGGACACCAAGCATAGTAAATTTAAAAAACACACTCATAAGTATAAAATTCATATTGCAGAAAATCAGGACAAAAATAAAATCTTGAGCTGGGCATGCCTGTAATCCCAGTGGCTTGGGAGGCTGAGACACGAAGATCGTGAGTTCAAAGCTAGCCTCAGCAACATAGCGAGGCACTAAACAACTCAGTGAGACCTTGTCTCTAAATAAAATACAAAATAGGTTTGGGGATGTGGCTCAGTGGTTGAATGCCCCTGAGTTTAATTCTCAGTACCAAAACAAACAAACAAACAAAATAACAAAAAAATAAAATCTTGAAGGGAGCCAGGAAGGAAAGGGTAGGTAGTAAACATGTTACCTACACAGAAACAAGGAGAAGAATTATACTAGACTTCTTGTCAGAAATCACATAAGCAAAAAAGTCAGAGGAATGAAATTTTTAAAGTGTTGAAAGAAAAAAGTGCCAATCTAGAATTCTAAATTCACAAAACTATATTTCAAAAATCTAAAGAAGGGCCAGGCACACTAGCACATGTCTGTAAACCCTACAGCTCGGGGGGCGGGGCTAAGGCAGGAGGATCACTATTTCAAAGCCAGCCTCAGCAACTTAGCAAGCCCCTAAGCAGCTCAGTGAGACCCTGTCTCACATGCATGGCCCTGGGATGGATCTTCAGCACCACATAAAAATAAATAAATAAAATAAAGGTATTGTGTCCAACTTAAAAAAAAAAAAAAGGCTGGGGATGTGGCTCAGTGGTTAAGCATCCCTGGGTTCAATCCCCAGTACCAACCAACCAACCAACAAACAAAAAACAACCCACAAAACACTTAAATATTAAGTAAATGCAGGAGATAAAATGAGATCATAAAAATGATCAAATATTCACAATGCAATAGCACACCAGAACTTCCTGCTCTTTTATAATTTTAAATTAGTATCAATTGATCAACCTTACTCCATTCCACTGCTTTCCTTAGACTCTGGAAACCACCATTCTGCTCTCAATATCTATGAGCACAACCATTTAGGTTCCACATGTGAGTAAAATCATGTGGTACTTATTTTTCTGTGCAGTGTTTATTTCTGGTATCCCGGAAACATGTACAATTTTTGTGTATCAGTTTAAAAATTTTAAATGACAAAATATAATGAGAAAAGTTAAGGAAAAAGGAGGGGGAAAAGAACCAAATCAAATACAATGAATAAGAAATAGCAAGAACAAATACAATGAATAGAAAACAGTTTGCAATGTGGTAGATTTTAATCCAATTATATAAAAATCACTTTCATCATGAATTGCCTACAGCCACACCAAAGACAAAGATTGTCTTATTGGAAAAAAAAGCAAGATCCAACTACAAAACAGTGCATTTTTTTTGTTATTGTTGTCTATAAAACATACAGCTGGATCTGATTCTGGAACCTTCTTTAATCTCTCACTAACACAAATATAAAACCTTGATAGAATGTCTGGACACAGATATGAATACTGAAAAGTAAATATACATATAAGTGGGTGAATCAGGGAAGAACACTAGAGTATGTATAAAGGACCACTTAAACAATTGGAAGTTCAACATTATATTTTTCTCCTTCAGTGTCCTGAGCCTGAATTCAATATGGCATGAAACCTAGAAGTGAGCATTCTTTGGCAGACAGTCAGATGCACAAGAAAGCTTATAGTCTGAGCTTAAGATATGGAAATGAGAAATTGAGATCAGAGAAATTTCCCCTAAAATCCCTTGGGTTTTTATTTACTCTACTTGTTCGGTTCCACAGTAAAAGTGGCAATAGGAAAAGTGGCCAGAAACATGAGTGGCCCAGAATGGAGCCTCCAGGAATCAAAACTCAACCATGGCATGAGATTCTTTCTGTAGGTTGAGACAGTGTCAGGAGGACACAAGTAGACTTCATACAAGTTTTTCCTCTATCCTCTTGCAACTTTTTCTGGACATGACAATGAGTAGTTTCTGAGTAGAGGACAGAAAATGGGATCCTAGGGAACTGGAAAGTACCAAAAAGACAGGGAAGAGTCAAGATTTTATCTGCGACCTGTGAGTGTTTGATCCTAATTACCATACCAAAGATCTGAAGACTCAATTAGCAAGAAGGCTTTTTAAGAATTTTCTTGTAGTTGTAGATGGACAGAATGCCTTTATTTTATTTGTTTATTTTTATGTGGTGCTGAGGATCAAACCCAGTACCTCACGCATGCTAGACAAGTGCTCTACCACTGAGCCCCAGCCCCAGCACCAGCAAGAAGACTTTTATGCAGATACCAGACTGACCACTAGGTGGTGCACATATAGGACAGTCCTAAATAGTACTACTGCAAAAGCTTTGAAAATTGAATTGATGTTGGAACTATGATACACAGAAGGATAGAAGAAAAATGTCAACCTTCTCCATACAATGTAAACAAGATTCATAATCTCAAAATAATAATTACAATCTCCAGAATACAAAATCTATCAGTGCTGTGGTTTGGATATGATTTTATTATGTCTCCCAAGGGTACATTGTGATTGAAGGCTTGGTTAAAAGGTTGGTAATGTTAGGAGGGGATGCCTAGTGGAAGGTCCTTAGGTCATTGGGAACATATTAAGATAGTTTTTGTGCAACTGCTTGGTAGTTCTCATGTGACCCCTTGAATTCCTGGTGGATTGTGATAAAAGGAACAAACCTGGCCCCACCCATCAACTCTTTCTGTTCCTGTTTGAGATGTGACCACTGCTGTTACAACATGCACTCCCACCATGATGTGGTGCCATCTGCCACTCTTGACAGAGGCCAAACCAATGTTCAGCACCTCCAAAACCGGGAGCTAAATAAACTTTTCTTTTATAATTTAGCTGCTTCAGATAGTTCATGGTAGTAATTCAAAGCTAACTAATAAAATCAGCATGCAAAGAACCATGAAAATCTCCATCATGTGGAAAAAGACAAACAATAGTTACAAACAATAAGACATTAAAATTATGTGTTATAAAATTTATGCATTATAAATATGATTGATGAGCAATAACAATCTTGGAACAAATATTAAAAGTAGAAGAATTCAGCAAAAAATGGAAGATATAAACAAAAATCAAATGGATATTTTGAACTAAAAATATAATATCTGAAATTTAAAATATCAGGAACGAAATAGGAGGGCTAGGGTTGTAGCTCAGTGGTAGAGTGCTTGCCTAGCATGTGTGAGTTTGATTCTTACCACTACATATAAATGAATAAAATAATAATCCATTGATAACTAAAAAAGTGTTTAAAAGAATGAAATAGGAAATATAAACACAGATATTAAAATGAAGGATATTATAATAAACAACTCCAAGCATATAAA